TATACTATATTAGTATATATACTACTTTCACCTCAATTACATTTTCAAATTCATATTATTCAATAACAATTCAATCAATTAATTAAAACTATTCAAAATATAATAATCTAAAATCTATTATATTATTTTCATAGGTTTTTATATTATAATCTCTTTTTTCATATTTATTATAATATCAAATGGAAAATGCTTTTCTATTAGATTTATTCTTTTTTTAATGTTTATTATATTGAATCTAAATATGAATCTTTTATTAAGATAACACATCAAGAGTTTTTTATTTAATAAGTATTTTTCCTTAATATAATGAAGTTTTTTATATATATTAATATTTGCTTAATATTTCATTTATTATTTGAAGTATATAAATCTTTATATTCAAAAGTATGTTTTTATAAGCTAATTACTTTATATTCTTAACTAAAATTAGTATAATCTCAAATTCAAATATAAATATAAGAGAGCTTAATTAATAATAAGTTATTCGAGATTCAATTAATATTAATTGAAAAAGAGTTTCAATTGAATTATAAAGAGTTTAAGAGATTTATTAATTTAGATTGAAAAAGGAAAAGATAAGTATACAAATTCAAATATCTATTTTCGATAATATAGCTTTAGAATTAAATAATATTAAATTTATTCCTCGAAATCCTGATTTTATATTTTAAGAAATAATTGATTTTTTATATATAGCTTTAAAAGCTATAAAGAATTCAATCTTTGAAATATAATTAATATATCTTAATAAATCCATTAATTTGATTATTATATAAACATTTCAGATTATTAACATAATCAATATCAAATAATTAAATTAAATAATTTGAATATAATAATAAATATATAATACAATATCATTCTTTTTATAATATATTTAAAAAGCTATTGATTTATAATTTTCATATCTATTTAGTATTAATATTTAATATTTATTCTTTTTTCAATTCTTAATATATTTATTAAAGTATTTCAATTATTCTAAATTTGTTTTATTATTTATTTGTCTATTAGATATAAATTTAATAATTTATTTTATAAAAAGACTTGTTTTAGTATATTAATTAAAAAGATAAATTTATTTTTGAATTATTCAAAACAAAGGAATAATTTCATTCTCTTCATTTTCATATATTATTATTATAATTCATTTTTAATTATCTAATTATATTAATTTACTTTTATTATATTTCTCAGTACTAATAACAATTATTATTATATATATAATTCCTATTATAAAGCTTATTTCATTAAAATTATAGAAATCTTTATTAAAAATGTTATATTTCGCTTATATATTTATAATTAATCGATCATTTTTTAAGAAGTTTAGAATTCTTATAAAACACTCTTTGAAAATCATAAACATAATTAAAATTTATCTTTAATTTTTTATAACATTTTACAAATTAATATACTCGAAGCTTTCTAATAACTTTTCCTCCTTTTAATTCTTAAATATAATTCACTATATTTTCTACCTCTTTAAATTTAAAAAGAAAACCTTTTAAATCTATATTAAGAATATATAAAATAATCACTTATTCTTTTATTTTAATAAATTTCAGATTTTATGATCGAAATTCAATTATAAAAATTATTCTATTTATTCTTTAAATAAATATTATATATATAACATTATATAACTTAACAACTTTTTAAATTGAAGGTTTTTATATTTTTTTCAATAATTAAAAATATTCTCCCTTTTTTATTATTCAATTATATAATGAATGATTAATAAGTTATATATTAAAATTGAAGAGTGTAAATTGAGACAAAAGTAGTATATGTACTAATATAATGTAGGTACTAATCAACTATATTATGATTTTACAATAATAAACCATTCTCTTTATGATTAAATAAGAAGAAGAAAGATATTTAGACTAATAGATAGTAATTATATCGATGATAGATTATCGAAAACTCTGCTCGGAATTTTACGAACAAAAAATGAACAGAGGGGGATTCGAACCCCCGCGGGCTAAGCCCATGAGAATACTAATTGATTGAATCAACTAAGTTAGTAAACTTGAGTCACACGCCATAACCACTCGGCCATCTGTCCTTGTATTCACGATACAACATGGTGCTCTATTGTATTCTCTACCGAAAGCAAAGATGCAGGGAAAATTTGCTACACTATGTGGGGTACGTGAGGGGCTTGGTGTTTTGCTCGACTCTTCGTAGGAGAAAAAACGAACGGAATTTAATCGTTTCTATAATGTCTTTACAATCTGATTACTCCTTTTAAACTAGAGGCCTGCGAGCCCCCGGACGCCTTACATTTTGAGAAAGTATAATAGAATAATTTTTCTTATATAAATATTTAAAAAGTAATTTAATAAAAGCTTATAGGCGAACTTGATTTACTATTATTATTTTTATTATTTTTATTATTTTTCTTTTTCTTGAATTTTTAATTTTAATAATTTTAATATAAATTATGTTTTCTATCATATAATATTTATGAGTTACATTTTAATCTTTTTTAATCGAATTAATAATTACATTATTAAACTACAAAAGCTTTAAGCTTAAACCAATTTTATTAGTATAAACTCTACTATACTTAATATATACTCTTTTATATTAATTATATAAGCTTTAAAGTTCTTAAAAGAATTTAACTTTCATTTGTTATATAAACTCTAATATTAAAGCTAGTATTATATAAATTAAATTAATTACAACCCCTTAGTTTATTCTATATAATTATCTCATTTTCTTTTTTTAATTTAAATAAGATTGACTTTAATATGATAATTTAAATGAGTTTCATTAGAAAAAATATTTTATATTATGATTCTATAATACAATATCATAATATACTACTATAACGCTTTAGTATAAAGAATATTATATAAGAGTTTAAATCAATTACATTACTTAAATCGAATCTCAGGCTTAGCGAATCAACTTTTATATATATATTGAGTACTTTAATTCTCGCGGACAGTAAGATTATTAAGGAGGTAAACCTTCAATAATATATAAAACAAAACTTTCAAGAATCATCGAATAAGAAGGAGCTTTAATCTCTTATGATCTTATTTAATTTATATAAATCATTTATAATTGATTTTTAATTTAATTGATTCACAATAGAAATTTGAATAATCAAATCCCATCTGTTTTTTCCCCCTACGAATAGTTCGGGTAAGATGCGGGGTGTTCGGATTGTTTGTAATATTTTGAGTTTCAAGACGTTGTCAAGTAGTAAGAACACAAGAGAGAGCAAATGCGAGATGGTAGTCACTCGTTTCTAAAGGCTACGAGCTCATTCCTCGTTGTCGACAGGTTTTTCGTCAAAAATATATATAATTCATATCTTCATCTTCATCACCACCCAAGCTTACCAACGGCCGATTCCATCAATTTCCCTATAAAATTTCATTTTTCGTGTCGCTCTCAAGAGCCTCCGTCTGTATAATGATCTGGCAAACGAAATTGCTTTCCTAACAATTGGCCAAGAATCCCGGATTTCCCAAGGTCGAATCGCCCGTAAAAGTAACAGTCCCATTCGTGAATGTGAGCATTCTTGCGCCGGTCGAGATAACGAGACACTATGCTGCTGGATACAAACCATCCTAGGGATTTAAAGTGGAAGCACTGCCTCTTCTGGAACACTTTAACAATCATTAGTCGAAAATTCAAGGAAGAAGATCATGAGACAATAGTGAATTGTGCTGAGTCAGATATGCGATACTGGCGGTATTGTCATCGACAAAAGCATAAAGTATGAAGGTACAATACTCGTTGGCTGGAGAATGAAGAATCTCGAATGAAAACGTAAAAAGGATAGCAGCTAAGAGCCACATTGTGAGAAATTGCTTGTATTCGAGAGTATATTAAAATTGAAAAGTCTTGATTGAGATAAAATAATAAATGACGAAAGGTGAAAGGTATATAGCTGTATATAACAACGAAGTCTACACAATGAAACGTATGGAATTTTCCGCCTTCATCCACAAGCTCGCTAATGACTGAATCTCAGGATGAACTCACAATCGTATGTGAAGTTGGTCGTATGGCAAAAAGTACTTAGCCCGGGGAATCAAGTCGAAAAAAATGATTCCCGAGCACTGACATCAATTATCCGGTAACTGGGCCATCGATTTGCCGACGGGGTATTTGTCAAGCTTCGAGGAAGAGAAAACCAATCATCAACTACTGACATCAAGGCTTCTGCTTCAGTAATTGAAGAGCATGCCTTTGATCAACGTCTATCAGTGCAGCCCCCATAGAACTGAGCACGGTTTTTATGAAATGTGCTTGCGGATGTAAGTGAATTGGATGACAATGTATTGAGCCCGCAAAAATCATTGTTGGTTCATGCCCCTGGTTGAGCCATCCGATCTTTCATGAAAGGAATGTCTTTATCTTCCAGCACATTGAACCCAATATCGCATGTAAATTAATGGATCCGGAGCACAGTTAATGGATCGCAGGTGAAACATTGCGCCTCTAAGGATTATCATTGTTGTGGTGTGATGCAATCTGAACAGCCAATGAGGGAAACGACTGGATCGGGCGCACTTCAAGTTCCAGAGCTCGGAGCAAAATGAATGACATCTACAAAGCATTCATTGATGGGCTTCTTGTCCACATGTCCACAGTAGACATGAAAGGTAAACCTGCCAAAACATTTTTCGCACTTTTCTCCGATCGTCTTCTCTCTGCTCATCCCTGATTCAAGTCCCTTGTCATGAGTTGGCCTGGTACACTGCTTCCATCTCTGCGTCTTGTTGAGACTTCTTGCCAATTGTTTCCCGAAATTCCAGAGAGACAATCGGACAGGAAATGACGTTGCTAATAAACATCGCCTATTTTCTCCTAAATCTTTGATTCAAAACCCTGACCGGAGTGCATCTTTCGCTAGCACATTTCGAAAGACTTTCAAAAAGCTAAGCAATTTCGGAACGTTTCTCTTCTGTATCATTAGTAAACATGGGAGCTAAGATATGATACACTTATGGTCGAGATATCAAGGAAGACTACATTTGACACGAGCAACTAGGAGGCCCATATTGCTGCAACAGGTTTTCAACGAGAATCTCAGCTGTCGGGCGACATTTTTGATCAGAAGCCAGCACATTTGGAAGAAGTGAGGCCATCCATAAGTCTCCCAACTCGTTGAACCACGGCCCTATCATATGTGAAGTCGCATGATAAACGTAGGTCAGTCTATCAGGCTCATCTGGTATCGGTTGACTTCTGTATTCATGAAAGTCCTCGATGCGTTCCCCATCAGCTACAGTAGCCATCTCTGCAAAAACGCATCCCAGGGAGTAGATATCAGCAGGTCGGCCTCTTCGATCATCTGAAACTACTTCGGGGGCACTGTACATTTTCGTGATGCCTACTAAAGGACCTTCTGTTGAACTTGTGACACCCGCACTGAACTGGTGGGCGGATCCGAAATCAGTCAAATAGACTTGATCGCCCTTGCAAATTATATTATTTGGCTTGATATCCTTGTGCCTGATATTTTGAGAATGAATATAGACTGCAGAAGCAAGGCAACATTGCCAGCCGCTTAGCAGCTTCATATCTTCCTCTGGGAAGTCACTGTCACTAACTCGTTCAAGAAAATGACCTAGATCTTCATCACCAGCTGGTGATATGAGAATTCCAAATTGCCGAGGAGCTTTGATTGTCTCATAAGTGCTGATAACCTTGATAATATGGTGATGAGAGAGACCCCGAAGGACTGCTACCTCTTGCTGGATCAGAGGCAATAGCCTCTTTCGAGAGAAGTTGGGAAGACGAATGATTTTCCGAGCAATCAAACCACTATGATCTCTGTCATTGAATCGAACTGCGTCGACAATTCCAAGAGATCCGTGTCCTAACTGTCTGATTGTAGTGAGTGGAACTAATTTATTACTGGCATATTCTTCGTGAGTATATTCAATGATGACACCTTGATGGGGGATCCTGGGCGATGGGCAGATTTTCAAGTCATGTAAGCCGCTGACTTGATCCTTCTCAGATATAGCTTCCGTAGCAAAATTTCTCCGCTCTGATGCGACATTTTCGGTCGATATTTCTCGCCGTGCCATTTCAAATTTGAGTTTTGGGAGTTTCATTGCAGGTGGCAGTGTAGGCAGTGGATCTGAAGGACGCGGGACTGCAGAATCCTCGGAGCCCCGAGTTTCTCCACAAACAACAATTTTCGGCTCATCTGAGACATCTAGATGGCTTGAAGGATGAGAAGCTTGTCGGAGTATAGCTCCATTTGGACCAGAGATCAATCTTCCACTACCAATTAAGCCGCCGAACCCAAATCTCGTCTTCCTCGCCAAAATTCTTGCTGGTTCGCAGATAGTTTTGCAAGATTTGCAACTATAACCTTCGGTTCCTACGACTACCTTTTTCAAGCAGCTTTGGCATCTCCACCATTCTCCCTCGAATCTACACGTGCCTAGGTCTTCTATTTCTTCCGCCGACAACTTGGAAGATACTCCGATGTCTTCTTTGTGGAAGTCTCGCAGATGGGTTCTGTAATTTATCTTTGACGCTCGAAAATCCGACCGAACGAAACGGAACTTGGACCCTGATGCACTGGCAGTGCCTATTTGTGATTGACACGAGGGATAGTCGCAAAGATAATAAGCTTCACCGTGGGAATGGACATAGTGTTGCATGAGTATTTGCTGAGAGGGGAAGCCACTTTGATGCTCTGGACATGTTCTGATATGGCATGGGTAGGAAATCGTAAAATCATCCGAGAATCTGAAGGTAGGAGACTGACTTTGCACTGTGGGAATAATATCTTGGCTCAAATTTTCACAAACGTCAGCATCGGGTAACGCTGAAGCTGCATCTTTTTCAAACTTGATGTCGTCTTTTTTTTGCCATCTTTCTTCTTCACTATTGATTGGCACTACTTTGTTGTCTCCGTCTGCACAGCCTATTGGTTGTGCTAACAAGGATTGAACGCTGTTCTTGCAATTGTCGGCCCTGATAACGTTTTTGGCTTCTTCAAATGTTGAGTCTTTGTCTATAAGCCATTTTTTCAGCATATTATACCTGGTCAGAAGCCCAGGGTCGCCCCTGAGTGAGTTGTAGCCATCGCTATGGGGTATAGCACTGTTGACTGTGATATTCACTGTAACCCACTTCTCCAGAGCTAGATCTGGCCGTTCTAAATTATCGAAAAACGTATCTGCTTGCTTGATTGAGTATTCCACTAAATGAAGCAAGCCAAGTTTGGAGGCGCCGGATGGTATATCGGGTTTCGCTGCCAGGAGGTCCTCTAAGTGACGATAGGGGCGTTTATGCGCCTTCCAAGATATTTCATTCCGTGTGGGAAATCTCTTGGTAGTAGGCACCGTTTCTTTTGGATTGAGTGCGCCCCTCTCAGAAGTGCTTTCACTACCATCTTGTTCTTTGGCTTGTGTTACCAGATGTCTTTGGTTTTGACGGTTGTCCAATGATGTTTGTGATGTTTTGGACTTCCTTAGAGCCACGTCGGTATTTGATGTGAGATTGACTTCGCAATCCGGGGTGTTCCCTACAGGTTGCAACCAGGCATTTGATGGCTTCAATTGTTCCCAAACACTGTTACTAGGTGTTGATTTGCGATGATGTTTGACGGCAAAAAACCGCCCAAGTCCCGGGAATTTCTCCTTCATCAGTTGAACTTCATCTTCATCGGTCTTTGTCATGCCAATTTCCCGTGCGTCAGGATTAAGTATCCCACTGTCTCTCACAGATAGCCATGTAGCGGAAGATTTGTCCATCTTCTCTCCATTCTTGATGGAAGCTTGGGATTGTTTTGAGATAGCTTGAGACGCCGAATCTTCCAAAAGTTTGGCATTATCCTTGGGGATAAAGCTATCCATAATTCGACGGCCTTGCTATGTACAACCCCGCAGTCATCGGAAGGATGTCAATTGTGTTTCGCTCGCGATAAAGCCTGCAAGAAAGGCGATCATCACACGGCATTCCTTGCTAGGTATAGACTTCACCCTACGCAAAAAAGTCTTTGACAATTGTAGAAAGATTTTATTTGTCAGCCGCTCACCATGGGTGCTGCAGGCGACTAAACCGCTTTCGAGACGATGCATTATGATGCTTGCAAGTGACGACAGAGCTGAGGCGCGGGAGAAATTGAAGAATGGTGGGATGGCTACCTGAAAAAGTTGACCGATCTTTTGTATTTATGCTTATAAATCAAAACAGAATCGAAGTGATGAAAGTGAACTTATTGAAAACGTGTTCTGATAGGTGTGCATCTGATAATATCACCAATATCGGTGTCACCGATATCAATCTTCTTATAAACTTTACCTGCTGGGGAGGTATCTAGGCATCAGAACCATGGCATGTGCGTGGCTGGAATAGCTGAGAGTGTACCGAGGCCTATTTGAACGACTTGATTAAACCCCTAAAAATAGATTTTCGTTTGAGCTAAAAATGTATTTAGAATTTAGTAATGTGTGAATAAAGAAGAAAAACTATTTAATTTAGTATTAAATCTTAAAGGAATTAATAAAAGAAAAAGAAAAGAGATATACTTATATATTAGAATTTAAAGAATTAATTAATGTAATCTTTTTCTTAAATTGTAATAAATAGTTCTATATATTTTCTTTTTATTTTATTAATTCTTTTAAGATTATATACCAAATTAAATCTTTTTTCTAAAGTATTATAAATATTAAGTAGATTAATATTAATTATTGATTCTTATAAAGCTGTGTATTAAATTCAAGAGTTTTTTATAATTTAAATATTAATTTAAATAAATTATATCAATTATTAATTTAGACTAATTTATTTTTTATCATTATAATAAGTCGAAGTTTTTATTGAGCTTATTTCGTTTATTATAAAAAAGTTTATATATAACAAAAAAAAACGTTTAATATAAAAATCTTTAATATTAGTATACTTCTTTAAAAAAAACTCTAGAATGAATTTTAAAATAATATAAATAAAATTATTAGTGAAAGCTTTTAATTATATAATTTTATATATAATAAATCTTTAATAAAATATGTTTTGTATAATATAAAACTTTTTTTCAAAATCTTTATGTACATATCATATAAATATTAGATTATTTTTTTATATCAGACAAAAATCTATTTTTGAGATTTTACTCAAATCGTTCAAATAGGCCTCAGTACCTAGGAGTGACTACCTAGGTACCTACCTACCTAGGTAGTGGCTTAATTGTGGCTCATGAAGTGGTGCACAGACTCTTGTCAGAATCCTGTTGGATGAATGTCCTCATGGATAACCTTATCATGGACATTTGAAAAGACGATTGAATTCAGTGTCTGCATATCGCAATCTGCTGTCGAAGCTTGGTTTTGTACCTCGAAACCAAGATCACTAAGATTTCCAAGTATTCTTTGGTCAGTCGTCAACATGTCAAGATGCACAAAGAAACGGCGCCTCATTGCTTGGACAGCGTATACACAAATACGTCATAGACGGGAAATGTTCAAGACTACCTAGGTGGGTAGGTAGCAATCTGAATTGTGATTGATCAAATCAACATTCCTAACCTTCTTCTTTCTAATACTGATAAGATATATGGGGATGCCATACGAAGTCAAGCTATCTTTTTCTTTCCCATGATACAACATATCGAATTCTTCAACTTCTCAATGTTCTTTCCATCTTAACACTCGACAATATCCTCATTTCGTTCGATCCAAACATTGCTTCTACCTAGCCTTTGGCCATATTGATACGGCCTTCCTCAGTTGTCAGTTCGATCCAGAATCATGGATACACGTAACTCTCACGATATCCCGAGTCTCAACGACCCCCATGCTGTACCAACAGATCCCTATCGTGGACGCGCGCAACCAATTCACAATCTACCCATAAGAGTCGAAGCCCACGAAGAAGACATACCTACCGACAGCCATGCTCTGGCAATCGCAGACCACGAAGAAAAAGGCGCAGCACAACTAGATCACGGAAATGTTGAAGTGCGAGATTTGGGCTGGAATGACCATCCTGACGATGTTCCCACCCCTCTGGTCGGAGGTCTACCAAACGAAGAACTGTGGACTTTAGTTCGGCGATTCAATAAGCAGATGTATCACGTCAAATCGTTGCCAGAGCCACCACTTGGAGGCCTGGACTTAAATATTGCGGATGAAGAGGAGTTCTCACCAGATAAGTTGAGGGCAAATGTAGAGCGGCTGTACATGACAGTGATAGTCGGGCTTGTGACCTTTTGGAAACATATTGCAAGGTTAAGGTCATGGAGGGAAAGAGATCGAACAATTGCTTTCGCATCAGTCTACTTCTTGGCTTGGCTGATAGACTTCCTAGTGCCAACCATCGTTGGCTTTTTGATCGTGCTTATTGCATGGGCGCCAGCAAGAGAATACTGCTTTCCTCCAGCACCACCCGCACTTATTGATAGCACAACAGGAGGAATCAAGAAGCCGACCGCAGGTGTGCTGGGTAACGACACTAGCTTGACTGGAGCCCCCGAAAAATATCGAGGAGAGGCAGTTGAAAAAGAAGCTAGCAACTTCGTCAACAGCTTTACCTCCATTGCAATCAGTAGTACAGCGGGGAAACACCCCCAGGGAGATCCATCTGGTGATGAGGCAGCGCCCAGTACTCTCGAAGATGCAACACCAGACCTAACAAACCTTGCAGTCCATGCCGCAGATGCAAAGGGAAGCAGTGCAGGGGATCAAACAAATAGCCTACATGATAAAACAAAGGAGCCAATGTCGGCAGCAATGTGGTCAAAAACTCGACCTGTCATGCATGCCATTGCTGACATATCTGATGGATGGGAGAGATTCGCAAATGCATTGTCTCCAACACCACCATTCCCTCGTGACACACCTCGACTTAAGCTCGCTGGCTGTCTTGCACCTTTGCTCCTCATCTCTATGTTCACCAGTGCCTATATGTTCATGAAACTGAATGGGCTTTTCATCGGTTTCGGATTTTTTGGAGATCCATTGATTTGGAGAGGGCTTTCATACTTGAATCGAGAATTCCCGAATTGGCAGAAGTTATTGGAGATTAGAAACACTTTACTGAAAGGTGTCCCAACAAATGCCCAACTTACAATCACATTATTGCGAATTGGTGAAGCGAATAAAGCTCCAATTCCACCACCTCCATCCTCGTCCCTACCACCACCTGATGTCGCGCATGCTACAGCAGGAGAGGATCTCGACCACCTCGGTAAGTAGATGACGCTCCATTCAAAGCAACATACTAATTTCTTCAGAAGGCGTATCCGAGGCAGAAATGGCTGATGCCATCAATCCCGACGTGGATGCGACCACAATCAGCATAGATCAGCCAAAACCTAAGAAGAAAGGCCACCGTCTGTTGGCGGCTTTTAAGAGCGTTACTAAAGGTGGTGTCGAGACTGCCCTGGGAACGGATAGATTGAAAGCTGCAGCTGGAGCAGAGCACGCCAAAAATCGTCTTGGTGTTTTAAAGGATGGGGCGGACGATCCGGCGGGCCCTATACGCTTTCCTTCTAGATACAAGGGTCGAAAAGGACATGCATATATCACAGCCACCGCAACAACCCCGGCATTAAGCTGGACCACGGAGAAAGAGGACGTTGATCCGGTCTTCTCCATAGCGATAGCTGACATTATGGTAAGTTTTATCAATATTCCTGTACACGTTGAAAGACATAAGCTGATATAGCAACAACAGGAGATAAAGAAGGTTGGTGGGCTAGGCTGGAAAAGCAAGCTTGTAGTAGGATGGGCTACATCGCGAGAAATTGCGGATGGACTTCTTGTCATCGACAAAGCCGGGGACCGAAAACAACTTACCGCCATCGCATTACGGGAAGAATTGTTCAATCGCCTGATTTCAATGGGTGCACAAATGTGGGAAGCATGGTAGAGGGCGTTTGAGCGCTCATTATTCTGGTGTCTTGATTCCCTGCTCTCTTTGGCCTGGATCGATTGGATTGCAACGATAGTACCAAGGCGCTTATCGAGAATGTCAGACAATGTTTGCTATCTCGAAGCGAAAAGTAAAGCCATAGGTTCATGGGTGGCCAATTGCCCCATGATAATTGCCAAATAAAACTTGCTTGTTTTTCAGAGTCGTCGTTGTAGATGCTCGGCAGTCGATAGTAATGACTTCTCTATACGTCGTACTGCGTAAAAGTTGCATGAATGGTTGAAGAAGGAAGTTTGAATGGCTGGGAATGAATACTAATTACTTATTAGCTCCCTAAGGTTTTGATCCCCGATGTTTATTCAAACACGTAAATTAGGTAAGCATTTTGATTAGTTTATCAGCTTCTACAGGGGACAGACAGGGAGGGATAGTAAGCTTTTACGAATTGGCACTTGATTACTGGTAACGTAGTTTATCAGTGCATGCACTAAGTCGGGTACCCCACTTTCGGGCCACCCCTTTTTTAGACCACCTTAAAAATTTATATTATATAATATTAAAATATTAATTATTCAATAATTATTCGGTATTATAATAAATACTTGAGAACGTATTTTCATTATTATCATTAATATTTCCTATATCAATTTTATAGTTTCTCATTTCAATTTGTACCTCTCTAATCTCTTTAATTTTAGAAAACTTTGAATTTAGATTAGTTTTCACCTTATATTTCTTTTTAAGAATAACTTGTTTCAATTAATACTCTAATTGTTTTATTTGATACCTAAATTATAGAATTTCATAATCCTTAATATCAAATCCCTTAATAATCTTTCTAAAAAGCTGATAATAAATATAAGGATCAGTTTCTTCGCTTCAAAGGAATATATATATATATATATAATTTTAAATTATTAGCTTTTTGAAATGTTTTAAAAATTGAAATTATAGATTTTTTATTCTATTAATATATAGAATCATTATTAGAAAGTAAATTCTAATTTGTAACTTTTTTATTATTGTTTTTAAATAATAATCTGAATATAATAGGCTTAATGTAATTTAAAGATTATAAACCTAAAGCTTTTCATTTAGTTAATATATTATACTTTGTTAAATTATTTAATTATACTTTTTAATAGTATATAAGGAAATTGATCTTTCTAATTACTTCAGAATTCAATAAAAAGACTAATTTATTGAGATAATGTTTATATACTCTTTTAAAAGATAAGAAAATGAATAAATCAAAAGGCTATAAGATATATAAGATATATAATATATATAATATATATAATAAAAGGAATAAAAAGTATATATTATACTTAAAGTATTTATATATAAATTCAATAGTTTTATAACTTTTATACTTGTTTAATATAAAAAGTTTCAACTTATCTAGTAAGAGAGGAGTTATTTAAAATATAAAAACCTTTTTAAACTATTTAAGAATAATATTATTTGTAATTCATTTATTATTTATAATAATAAAATACTACTCTTTATAAGGTTTCAAATTAGTTGGAAATCATTATTGTTATACTAATTTCCTCTTTAATATAATAAAGAAATCAAAAGCTCTTTTTATAGCTGAAATGTATTTTATAAGTAATATCTAAATTCTAGAATCAAACTCTTTTTTCTAAATAAAATAATATTCTAAACTTTTTAGAACTAATCTATTTAATCCCTAGTCTTTTTATATATCTACTTCATTTATATTATAATAATATTAAAACTTAATATAATAAATTGAGGGTAAATCCAACTTTAAAAATTATTAATTAATAATATTAATAATTATACCTTTAATATATATTGAATTGATTTTGATTTGTTTTTTAATTCTAATCTTTAGATTTCTTTAAAGAAAGTTCTATATTTATCGTTTCCCAAATATAGAATTATTTCCCCTAATATTGAGAAGATACTTTTCAATTTTACAAATTTGCTGATATATAAAACTAATATTTAAAAACTTTTGAACTAATATTTAATTTATTAATTGTTTCTTTTATATCAAGGTTATCTTTTGTATATATTATATACCTTTATTATAAAATAAATAGTTATTTATATGATTTTGAAAAGTAACCCTTGGAATTCTATAATTCAAAGTAGCTTATTGAATTGAATACTTATTCATTATTATATGTAAAGTTGAAGTAATATTAATTTCAATATATATCTTAAATATAATGTAAATAATAATATATTAAAATTTTAAATTAATTAATTTAAAAATTATAAAGTTATTAAAGATTTAAGGTGGGAGGTTGCTTTCTGCAGTGAGCTTTTTTGAGGTGGTTTAAAAGAGGGGTGGTTCGAAAGTGAGGTACCCGATTTATATTAGTATGTGCATTACTCATTTTACATACAAAATTCGTCTGTGTGTAACCATGCACTTTCTTTATTTCTAGATTAAAATTTCTGAATATTTAATACAAAATATTTAATTATATATGAATTATAAAAATCTAATTAATTTTAAGAAAAACTTAATTTATAAAGTAGTTATTATAGAAATAACTATTTTGTAATGAAAATCATAACAATTTTCACTTTTTCTAAACTTTAATAGGAATATTTATATAAAAACTAGATTTCTAAGAATCTATTTTCATATAATTATTTAGAATTCTTTTTTTTTTTCTAAAATAATGATTAGTTATTAAAATAAGAATATTAAAAAAAGCCTAATTTTAGTGTATTTTGAAATGGTGCACGTATTGATATAGTGTATGTACTGATAAACTATGTTAACTGTTAATTACCTATTTTCTTGTACGGTGTTGGGTAATTAGTAATTAATTACTTCAGGTATTATTTTCTTGACCGACGAGAGTGCATAGGTAGATAGATAGATACAGTTGGCATTTCAATTATACCCATGATGTATTTGAATATAGCTTCACCCTCCGGATTGCCAACCAGATTTGCTGGGATGATTACTCTGATACCGTTTTCAGGAATGGACGTCTTGGACACACTGAATGGAGGACAACAAAGGTAAAATCAGGATCTCAAGATCTGTTCCTGGTTGGTTTTCTTTATCCGCTTTGCGAATTGATTTCTTGGATGCTTGGGTGAATTTGATAAAGTAGGAGGAGAGGGAGAGATGTGTTTCGTGTCATGCCATGGTCACTCAATCTCTTATATGTATGATTCATTTATCGTTATTCAAACAATCTATGAATGGTTGGTGATCGAATTGCTCATAATTTCCTGTTTCTTTCAATTGTTGATGCCCTCAAGAGCAGACAAGTACTCGTTCATTCCACACATGCACACCACCTGGGTATCACCCATCAAAAACTATCACCCATCATAAGCTATCACCCATCATAAACTATCACCCATCAAAAACTATCACACATCAAATATCCCAAACAATCGCTTTCCAAGATGCAGCCACTAGCTGCCATTCCGTTAGCTTGCTCTATCGTGACATTCGTGCTCGGCATGTTGTGTCTTTTCGCAGGCAATAAGCCTGGTTTCATGGAGAACTACCACATTGTGACAGTATGTTCATAAGTCCCCATTTCTAAAGAGACCGATCTAATAACATACCCTCCAGCTCAATACCTCCGGAATTGGACAAGACCTCATACCCACAACAACCAGTGGTGGTTCCACACCCACCTCTCTATCCCCAGGAGGAATCGTTAGTAGTCTTAGCGGCTTGATACCCCGTGAACCTGGAATTGGCGATGATATTGCAAACGCACTGGGCGATCTTGAGAACGACATTGCAGATAGGCTTGCGGAAACTTTAGGTATTGAAGAATGGTACTCACTTCATCTGATGGATATGTGCCAGGGATATTATACGCCAAATGCAACTTCTAAGGGGGCAGGATTCAACGTAAGCTCTTGCACGAATCAAACGGCTATGTGTAAGTACTATTACTCTCTAAATTATTTTGATACTCAGATTGCTCATATCTTCTCACAGTCCACTTCGAAATTAGTTCCATAATCTCCGAACAATTATCTATCGGCCCCCTTCATTTGAATCTTAGCGACATAGGCTGGCCCTCTGCTATTCAGGATGGTCTCGATACACTCTCCACGGCTATGAATGCTACCTTCGTATTCTACTGCATCGGCATTGTAGCCGCTGGTCTAGCGATATTAACTTCGCTCGCCGCCATCTTTATAACCGGCCGTCTCTTCTCTTTCCTGAACTGGGGTTTAGCATCTCTGGCCCTTCTGGCTCTTACTATAGCCTCCATCATCGTCACTGTCCTCCAAAACAAAGCTGCAGAGATCATCAACAAATTCGGAAATGATATTGGAGTGTATGCATATAAAGGACAGAAGTATCTCACCCTGACATGGGCCGCTACAGCTGTTATTGCTGTTGCGACTATTGCTTGGGTAGGTATTTTCTGCATTGGCCGTAGACAAAATGGACTTGAACTCCATGAGAAGAGTCGATTTGGAAAGAAGTGGAGACAGAGTGATAGTAGCGAATTTGCGAGAAGGGGCGCGTAGATGTTATGTTCTTTTGGATGGCCCAGAAGGTTCTTTTGGGTACGTGGACAGATGGATGTATTGGGACGAATGTTTTCGATCAGATATTTGCAGATACATGTCATACTTTAATATCCACTTATCTTCTTGTACGACTTTATGGGAAGGTGTGAGTAAGGAGAGGCGAAATGGATTTCCGGATACATGCAAGGTGTTAGCAGGAGAATGGCGTAGGTGATCATGTGAATAATGATTGTATTACAGCGAGATACCCAGAGAAGTAGAAAGAATGCAATAAAGCACTTTTAATTTATGCCGATCAGTAGAAAATAATTAATGCAGTAAGTCGGGTACCCTACTTTCGGGCCATCCCCCTTTTGGGCCACTTTTTACACCAAAAATGGAATTTTTAACTTTCTTATTTATGAATAGAATTTATTGAAAATTTATATATATATAATTCAGATCGTTTTGAATCTAATCTGAAATTTTTAAATTTTTAGGATTTTTCTATATTGAAATCTAGAGCTTTAAAATATTGATTTTTAAATTTGTATGAGAATTATATATAAATTTAAAACTTTTATAAAATCTTTAATAACTTTTTAATAAAAGTTGTTAAAAATAAATTAAAAAGTTTTATTATAAGTTTATAGTATGTTTACTTTAAAAGATTAAAAAAAAATAGAAAATTTCTTATAAATAGATATTTAAAAGAATATTCTCAAAATTATAGGGATTATTTATACTAATTTAAACTCATTGTATACTATATCTCTATATCTGTTAATTTTTTTTAATTTTTTTTTAATTTCTATATAAATTTAAATTCAAAACTTTCAAAAAGATATATAGTTTTCTTTCAATAATTATTATTAAAAAGTTATTAAAGATTTTATAAATGTTTTAAATTTATATGTAATTTTTATATAAATTAAAAAATCGATGTTTTGAAGCTTTAGATCTCAATATAAAAAAATCCTAAAAATCTAAAAATTTCAGAATAAGTTTAAAATAACTTAAATTATATATATTCAAATTTTTATTAAATTAAATTATATATTGATAGAGATATTAATAAACCAAAAAAGCGATTTTTGGTGTAAAAGAGTGGCTTAAAACAAAGGTGGTCTGAAAGTAGAGTGGTCGATTTAAAGTCAATAAATTAATATACATGTCCCTTCTCACGTGTTACGACGGCATCCAATATACCGCGTCACGTGATCAAGAAGTCACGTGATGGACCTAGAGGATCTAGGGGATCGAAGAATAAACATCTAGATCCATAGGATCCAGAGGATCCAGACAAGACAGAACTGTAGGTTCTGCAGAGCAGGAAGGTCTATATAAGAGAACAGATTTCATTACAATGTAGAGCTTCGTGCTCAAGAACAATCATTAGTTTCATTACTATAGTTACGAGAATTGCAACCAGTTACAACCTTATTGAATTCCTACTTGAAGTCTAGTCTAAACCACCTCGAGAGATCTCTAGACACTTCCACGTGACCCTAGAGGCAGCTCCCGTAACATCACGGTTACGCAGTACAATAGTGAATTGAGCATGACCTGCAGCAAGTCACGTGATCACTGATCCCACTTCTTAGAACGTGCAATATACTAGCATGTTTACGTTTGTTCATGTGTGTACCTATGTAATGTTGGTTTCGACCTCTCTATGACAGCACTCCATCCTATCCATGCAGCCACACTGCAAGCTCTTAAGCGTCAGTTATAACACTTTTCTGTGCAAAATGAGTCGCGTTGAACATGTATCAGTAGTTTTTTACATGAAAGAACTGGCCATGTAATCTTCCTCTTCCTCTTCCTCTTCCTCTTCCTCTTCCTCTCCCCCCCCCCCCTTCCTGTTGCCCTTTCTGTTCCCTTTCCCATTCTTCCCATTCACTCTCAGTGTACCCCTCATGTGCTTGTCTCCATATTTTATTCCAGTCTTTCAATACAATCATGGCTTCCTCTTTGCCCAGTATCGGTGGATCTAGCCATGTATCTGTCTCACCGAACGAACCCGTTACTCTTCTCCAGAACAGGTCTCCTTCTTGAAATAGGTCATATTTCCTCAAAGCTTTCCGCATATCTCCGAATATGTATTCTGTGTTAGGTTGCATAGACACAAGAAGTGCATCGCGTCGGGGTATGATTTCATCTATTATTTCCTGGTTTTCTTTGAGAAGAGTAGCGGCCTTTTCTGGCCCCAAAGCCTTCTTCCATAAGTCCGTCCGTAGATCTTCATTAACCTCCTTTAATGATACGAGCTTATTCACCCATGTCGTATATTCCAAATGATTTTGTAGTACATCGTTCCAACGTTCTGTCAACTCTTCGGTGAGTACAATTGCTGGTAATTCTCGACCTTCAAGATTCACATGAATCAAGTCTGTCGAGGTTTTCACCCCTGTTGGCCAATCATTAGCCCAAGGTCTGACAGCAGATGAGAAAAGCTATTTTACTTACTGGGACTGCCGCGTTCGTCGTCATCATCATCGTGATTTGCACTTCTTCTCTTCCCACTCCGTTCCTTTCTTTTGAGATCGTTAATCTCTCGTTGAAGGTTCTTGTTTTCATTTTTCAATTCAGCCATGTTTTGCCTCTCAGCGGCGGCTTCAGTTTTTAGCTCAGTGACCATTTGCCTAGTATCCTTGAGTGTTTCTCTTTCGACTCCGAGATCGACCTTAAGTCGCTCCGTTCGCTCTCTTTCTTCATTTCTTTCCCGTTTCAACTGTTCTATTGTCTGCCTTGCTATTGGAATTTCCGGATCTTCGCGCTGAGTGGTGTAATGAATGCTTTCACGGATAATCCGTTCGAGACTTCTAATTTGTCTGCGCAGAAACTCCACGTCATCACTAGTTGAGACCCGTGGTGCGATTAGTGGTGCTTTGGAGCTTTGAAACCACGATCCCCACCACGAAACCGTTCGATCTGACTGTATACCCCGAACCATTTCTTTGGTTTGTGATGAAAGCAGGTCGGACACTTTTGAATGAGCGCAACCTTAAGCCGGACTGGTCTCGGAAATGGGAAAACTTGTTGGCAAGTTGTAAGTTGTTAAATATCGTTGCAAAAAGTTCGTTGATCCTACATTCTTGAAGTTTAAATAACCTTGGACTTGCTATTTCAAAATAATGGATCATACGGCGAATCTCTTAGGTCAATACAATTTTCTTTATTCACTGAAGACAACTACGCCGTACCGAAAGCCGAAAACGGAACTGTAGTGACAAAGAATTCTAGCCTATTATTTGTTCACTGCCATGCTCTATCAAAAACACATTGTATCACGGACTGGCAATTATGTCAAGCGTATCCCTAATAATAACTGTTTCCAAAGAGAATTAAAATCTTCAAAATGGCTCACCAAGGAGACACACAGGGAAACGGCGGTGGGCGGGGAGGTGCGCCAGCGGCTTGGGGTCGCGGTGGCTCTGCAAGGGGTAATGAGTTAGGATTGAAAGGTAGTGCCTCTGGGAGAGGAAAAGGGGTGACTCGTGTACCTAGCGGGGCAGCGAGAGGTTCACTGGCTGTTCCAAAGGGTAGAGGCGACGAGTCAGCTCGGGGCCGTGGCAATGCTGGAACAGTTACGGGTAATGTGTCATTAGCACATAGGCCTGCAGCTGGAGCTCTGGCCCCGTCCGCGGTCATGCCGACATCACAGGGCCTAGGTCAATCGGCTCCGTTAAAAGGAACAGCGCCCGTATTTCAGCCAGGGGTACCATTGGGTGCAAGTTCTGTTTCATCAAGACCGCCCTCTGGCCAGCCTGGGGTAACCGCAACAGCACCTTTACCAGCCTCTGGGCAGCTTGTTCCTTTGCCTGATCCTAGGATGGAACTTCCATATGAAGGTCATGAACTCCCTCGATTTCCTCACGAACCTTGGGAACATGGGAAAGCAATGCTAGACAACCCATTTTGGTACGACCCAGTTCCTACCACCATCACAGTAGACGGCGTAGAGAAGCCGAAGCTTGATAAGAAGCTTTATGAAGCCGCGGGAGACAAACAGCCCGAATGTAAACCACCTCCATTATACAACGAAGCAATAATGCAAACAGCGCCATATAAAAGGATGGAACGGTACGGATCGGTACATACGCCAAATGCTTACCATCACGGGGACGTAATATGTGCAGTAGAACACTATCCCGACTTTGCCAGAACAATCCCGGAACAAAATGATAGATACCGAACTGACACAGTCTTTGGACCTGTATTCTCGAAAGAACGTAAATATATTATTCTTCAAAAATATCGCGAGCATTGTGTGGTAATACCAATATTTACACACACAGGAAGAGGCCTTGCTGCCAAGCCACAGGCGGTAAGGGAGCATTATATATCAATACGCGATGGAGACCGACCTAATCAGGCTCCACCAGAGAACAATCATGGTAGTCTCCAAACGCATAGATACCCTCAATTTGAAGATCGGCGAGATCGACGAAAGGTTCCGAATTTTCACATCATGTCCGATAAATCTGCTGCTTATTTCGTTTATCCAATATGTCATAGATATTCAGTGCCATGTATCTTCGAGTCGAGATTACGGACAGACAGTCTCGATTACCTCTTACATATCTATTTGGACTATGGTCCAAATCCACCCCCAGCATATTTTACGCATAGGAAGGAGCGGCGGATTACAGTTGCGGGGGATAATGTAGCACAAGGGGTGTAGCAAGGAATGTTCAGTCTTTTCTTCACATAATATTAGGCACAAAAATCTAATTTCCCTTGGAATACAAGGTCGTCTTCACGTCTGTAGCGACAGAGTCGAATAATCTAGGGCAGAGTTGTGTACAAGAAGGATACAGCACCTTGAAGGCAGGTTGCGCTTTGAAAGTAAAAGATGATCCGAAATGATTTAGTGTATAGCAAAGTAAAAATTATACTGGAAAGGAAGGTCGAGATCTGCACACTCAGGTTTCAAAGTAATGTGTACAGCTCATACCCCGCTTGCTTTTTGTAATCTACATCAATATGCATAACATTTTGACTTTGCACGATCTTGATCTTGATTGTGAAACGCGCAGGTAGGTAAGATCATCTGAGCTAGTGCATTATTTAAGTGTTGAGGTATCTTCTCCCTTACGAATGTGACATTGTCATTCAGGCATACAAATCACGGATCTATGAGAGACTATCCGAGTGATCCTCGGAAAACATGAATTCCCGTATGGCAGGTATCACTCGTGTACTGGCACATGAATCTGCCTCCTAGAATCCCACATTTTCCCCGAATATGTCTATGGAATATGACAACAATGCAACAAATCGTAGTAGGTAAATGCAGTATAGTTTACAAGAGTCTCCGGATCTGGCTCCCAGTCTATGCATTTCTTTCATATGCCCTTGTTCTTCTTCCTTTTTGTCCGCCATCTTTACTTTGCTTTGTGCTCCTTTCATCTTGGCCATTCGTGGATTTTCCCACGCCGCCCATGAAGATTTCTTTCTCTCTGCAACTGATCCAGTAAATATCTGTCCACGCAACCATTTTTCTACATGAGCATTACAAGCCATTGAGGTGTCCGAAATATCTTTGTACAATCCGTCCGTGTCCAGATTTATCCTTTTGTAGATTTTGTTTCATTTCTCAACAAATCTGTAGTCAGACCTCCACTTCACACTAATACAACCTTATCAGATTATTATTTCCCTCCGTTCGCGAGTCCATGTTATGAATTCAGTACAATTATTAAGAGCTCCATTCCAAACCCCAAACAAGTCATCTTTGAAAACGATGTTACCCAAGATTACTTCTTCCTGATACTCGAATGCATCCTGGGTATTTGAGCTCCTTGTTCGTTGATATTGTTAACTTCACACATGTTTGTCACGAATACCCAAAGAAGAATGATAGTATGGCCAATCACAGGATCTGCGTTCTTTTACTCGGGTTCCTTCTTGGATAGTTCATTTTTATGAATTTCCTTTTTCGGTTTTGCGCTAAGCAAGTAAAGGACTTGGTAGTCTTTTCTCACACAACGCCCTTCATTGGCGGCATCGGGTTTTTATTAGTCAATAGCTCAGGATTCAGTTGCTGTAATCTTGAATTTAGGGTCTGGAGGGATAAAGATAATGCTCCGAAGAAGAGGAAACAAAGCTCGATTGTCAAGTATTAATTACGAAATCGACACATAGATTTGAGAGAAAATCGAAACGTAATTTCAAGGAATACTGGCAAGCTAGTACCAGAGGGATAAAGATTGTAAATCAACTATCAATGACGATCTTAGGGTATGAAGTTGAACTATGATGTAATGACACCTTGCTCGCTCGCTAACTTTTCCAAGTCTGAAGTTTGAGTCATTCTCACTAGCTTCGCGTCAAAATCCAACGGTCTGTCACCAACGTGCCCCTAATTAAATCGGGTGAGTCTAGTACAGTGATCTGCCTCTTGAAGTTGGCCTCGCGTGACATTATTTATCAATACTTATTGACAGATATGACAAATGTAGATTTTTTGTCTATTTTTGACCCACTTATCGAGGATGAGTGAAAGATCAGAGTGAAAAAGTTTATCATGAAGTGCAAAAACTACTAGGTAGTCTATCCGTCCTCACTTAGTGCCTTTCTCCTCATTTTCTTCTCTATATAAAGATCGTTTTCTTCACTTCACATCCCACAATCAAAGTCATCGACATACAAGTCGAACGCAAAACATCTACAAAAGTCGATTCACTCAACATCTTCATGAAGACATTATCAAAATGAAGGTTTCGAATGCCTGTGTCTTCGCTCTCATCACCTTCTTCAACCTGAGTACAGCAGTGGTGATTCCAGAAACGTCTACTACAGACGGAGATCTGGTCCCATTCAACATGACCACTCCCGAAATCCACCCACCATTTATCGTACTCCCCTCCTCTTCCTCCCCGACGAAGACCAAACGCGGTGAGGCTAGCAAATCCCAAGAGGTTAAAGAACGCGAAAAAGTAGTCCCCATATATGAGAAACCCTGGCCCTGGCAAAGAAAGAAAGAAAAAGTAAAGCCCAAGGTTACACCACGTCCATGCCCATACCCCAAGACTCGCCCATGCATCACGCAAAAAGAGATCGATCAAGGATGGCATGATAAGGCAGGGTGTTACAACAGATCCTGGTTTTTCACCTACGGGCCTACACATTGTTGGGATGCAGGAGATGATTGTATTAAGCCAGATTGCAGATATTAAACGTGAGCTAGTGTCCCCGGCTATTATATATAGAGATATTAACTAATACTAGCTATAGAAATTGATGATGAATTAATCATACAAATTTGGAACGACCAAGACAGGAGAGATCAGCTACCTAGGTATAATATCAGTGAGCGATGTTTCAAATAAGGTTGTAATCTTGCGCGGCAATCTGGATAGGAGGCGAAATGGCTTGACGGGTAGATGTGGCCAGATAAACCTTGAAAACGAGGCACACCAGATTGAATCACTGTAAAAGTCTGAATTTGATACATTGGCATTCAGGTCGTAGCATTCCTATCTGAATAATTGAATGGTTGCATCCGAACGTTGTATGCCAGATTCTGTGGTGCAGGGATGGTATAACTATTATCATATATAATACAATCCTTATTCCCTTTACGCTATGATTATAGATATCCTACTAACCTATATTCTTTTAATACTAGAAACTTTTCATTTGATAAGAACTTTTAATTAAATAATGTAACTACTAGTTATTTTTCTCATAGGAATATAAGATATATAACTGAGAATCTAAAGAACATTGATTATATTTATGAATTTGTAAAAGTAATTTAAGGAAAACCATACTCTAATTATATTATATGATTATATATATATATATAACAGGCTATTTTCGTATTTTATACACTTATAAAACCTCTTTTAATTAATTATAAAGACTATTAATATTAGAGTAGGATTATTTCGATCGAAATAAAGAAAGGAAAGTCGATAAAAGTCTAAAATATTATCTTAATTTAATAAATAACTCTTAAATGAATTAATAAAATAATTGAAAAAGAAGACGTGATTTAATTAAAATCGTTAAAGGCTTTATAATAATATGAATACTTTTAGAATAGACTTTATGATAATGATAAAATTAATTAATTAAATTAAGAGTATTAAGTAAATAATACTTGAAATACATTTGAAAATACATTTGAAAGTTCATTTATAAGTAGGAATTTTATTATTGGAAGTCATATATATAATACTAAACATCTTTTTCTATTCTAATAGATGTCTGAATAATATAGTAATAAAGTATACGATTTGAGGTTATATAATACAAATGATCTATATCTAATAACTTATAATTAAATAGAAATAAAAAAAGATCTATATAGTTATATATAATCGATGTTAGTCTTAATTAACTTTATATGATATATTAAAGCTAACTCTATAAAAAGAGAGCTAAAGAGTATATTATTTAGAAAGGTATGTAAAATTTATATATATAATATTAAGTAGTATAATAATAACAAATATCTTTTTCTATTTCAATAATTATAGTCTGAGGTATATTTGTCTTAAACTTTTTTCAATATTAGTATTTAAATTAGAATCTATATGTAAATTAAACTAATAGATGCTTATATGAATATTAATCATTAGGATTTAGTAATTAGCTTTGATTCATTAGCTACTATATTATAGTTGTAAGCGAATGCAAAATATAATAGCCCTAAGCGAAAGCAGAAGAGACTAACTCTTCTTATAGCGTCTATATAAGGCCTATAACTTCCAATACTTAGCTAGCTCTTTAGACAGAATATAATATAGACATTTAGGACCTACGAATACCGTGGGTGCTACGTCTTTCGTATCCTTCTCGAATTAATAATACTATAAAAGAATATATAAAAAAGAATAAAGAAAAGAGTTATAATATTACTACTCTAGTATTCTATTATTCTATTATTCTATTATTCTATTATTCTATTATTTCAATATTTTATTAAACTAGACTATTAAACTATTAAACTATTGAAACATATAATATGTAATCATTATTATTATATATAATATTATATTTAATATAACATTTAGTAGTGATAATATCTATAATATTATTTATTCAGATAGTATACTTATAGAATAGTATTTTTCCTTTAAATAAAGAAACAATTAGATAGATGAATGTAACTCATTTTACTCATACATTTTATATGTATACCTGAAAAAGTCTATTCAACTTAAACTATTAAATATAATCTATTAAATCTATTAAATCTATTAAATCTATTAAATCTATTAAATCTATTAAATCTATTAAATCTATTAAATCTATTAAATCTATTAAATCTATTAAATCTATTAAATTTTTAAAAAAAGAGGAAAATGAAACTAAAAAATAATAAGAATAATAAGAATAAATTTATTAATTAAATTTGAGTATAGTAAGGATTAAAGATTTAAGAACTAGCTCATAGATATATTATATATTATACTATATTATCAATGTATATATATATAATTAGAAAAACACGAAAAAACTAAGGAAAGATTTTCTTGGAAAAACCTATTAATCTTTACTACATTCAAATCAGAATCTTACTCTCTACCCTCTTTTAAAATTACTGAATTAATACCTATCTAGATTGAAGAGATATTATCATCAATATTGAAAAGAGAGGTCTAGTATATTTATATTTGAATTATTAATATTAACATTATTAATAATAGATTTACTATATTGAATATAATTAATAAAAAAGATTAAATTATAAATTTTTATAATAATTCAAGCTTTTTAATACTCGGAGATTTTACAGGAGGATTTCAATTACAAAGAAGAAAGTTCTTAGGTATAGAAAAATGAAAGATAAAAACTTTTCAAAAAGCCTTACTTTTTTTTAAGAAATATCTTATAAGAAATATATTAATATAATATTTAATATTCTATTAATATATTTATAGCTATTCTATACAAATAAAAAGAAAAGCCAAATCTTTCGAAAAACATTTATAATATATTTATTTAAATATATAATATTTCATATTAGTATATGATATTATTATAAAATACTAATTTCAATATTACCTTGTATAGTAAACAATATATTACTAATTATAATTAAAAAAAATTCTTCAATATAGAATATATATTATTAAAGTAATAATATTTCGACATTATTATATTTATTATTTCGATCTTATTCAATCATCTAGTTCAATAATATAATCTTATCTTTTATATTAATAGAATAGTTTAATAGGCTTTAATATATTGTATTCTATATTGATAAGGTAATTCGACGGGAGGAAAGGGAATAGAAGATATTAGATTTTAAAAAGAAATTATATGTTATTAATATATTATAAAAGAAGATGAATATAAGACTTATAAGTAATAGATTAAAGATTATAATAGGATTTTTAAAGGATTTAAAGTATTAAAGGGTGAAGATAATTCTTTAAAAAAGATATAATATTATAACTAATTATAGCTTTTATAATATTTTAAAAAAAGTTAAATAAAAAGAAAAAGATTATTATAACAAAATAAAAAATATAGAATTTCTATAAGTATATTGAAAGATTTAATAGAAAGAAGGTTTTTGAATATAATAGATCTATAATATAAATAACTTGAAAGACTTAAAAGAATTACTTAAAAAGTTATTTATAAATCTTAATAAGAAAGTTCAAAAAAAGATAGGTTTTTATTTCTTTTTCCCATCTATCTTATTCAATTAGAATTATATATAAGCACATCGTATAATCTTAGCATAGCTAGATAGATCGAATCGATTATAAATTTACTATTACTACTATATATAATTAAAGTTAGAATTAGTATTAGAATTCGAATTCGTAATAGAATAAGAATTTGTATTAGTACTAGTACTAGTCGTTGGGGAAAAACAATTTAAATTCTACGAATTCGTAGAGTTTTATAATCATATAATAATTAATAAGAAAAGTAGAATTCTACGAATTCGTAGTCTGAAAATTGATTTTCCCCGACGACTAGTTATGAAGTTGAATTATTTAATGAAAAGTTTTTATTAAATTAAAAGTATCTATTATTAAAGAAATATAGATTAGTAGAATACTCCTATGACTACTTAGTTTTCTAACTAGTTTTTAAAATGTATCTTTTTTATATCTTATTAAAAACAGTTGAATAATATATTTCGATATTTCAATTTATAATAACTTTCTTTACAGAGTTTCGATTTGAACTATATATAATAAAGAATAGTTGATTTTATTATTTATCTAGTTTCTACTAAATTCTGAATTATATTAATTGAAATTAAATTTTATAAATAAAGATTAGTTATATAATTCGAATCTCCTACTTTCTAGTAACTCCTGTTTTGAATTATTCTTTTATATTAAACAGCTCTTTTTCGACTTAGTAATATCTAGATTAAAGTAAAAAATAATTTTATAAATTTAATATAATAAATCTTTATATTGATATTAATAATATACTAGAAATTTAGACTAGAATTTTTTAAATAGAAGTCTAAAGCTTTAAAATATTGATTTGTGAATTTATATGAGAATTACATACAAATTAAAAAATTTCTTAAAACCTTTAATATCTTTTCAATAACAATTATCAAAAGAAAACTATTTATATTTTTAAAGCTTTAAACTTGAATCTATATAATAATTGTAAGTTTTTATTAAAAAAAAGTAATAAAAATAGAAATAAATCTTTTATAAGAATTGATAATTCCTACGATTTCGAAAATACCCCTTTAGAAGTTAGTTTTATTTTTTTATTGAATTCAGTTAAAGAGTAGATCAGCGAATTATATTTGAAAAGCTACTTATGAAATTGAGTATAATCCCTGATCCCAACTACCCCACAATAGCTCGAAGCTTCAAAATAATTCATGCTGCGTAGGTATATGTACCTTTCAGCAATTTAATTTCTTCCCAACAACAACAACACATACTCTACACAAGGCTTTCATTCTTGTCTCATATTGATTGCTCAACCACCTCAAACCAACCATGCTTCCTTCAATCAAAGCAGCACCTCTGCTCAGTCTGCCTCCATCTTTGCGTCCACTCCTCCTGTCACGACTCTACGCAACACATACAGGTTTAGGTACTACAAGTGCCTCGTCGCAATCAAAAAGAAAGGCTGTTACCACCTTCAACGATGATGGCAGAGTTCCTTGGCGCGACTTATCGCGGCGGGAAAAGGTTGCCAGAACAACGCAACAAACTTTTAATCTTGGTACTGTCCTCGTCGGCACAGCATTGACGGTATGTAAATGGCAATGTTTTCACACAATCCACCACTGAATTTCAATACAGGGAGGAGTCATCTATCTTCTCTACACAGAAGTATTTGCGCCCGAGAGTAAAACCAACCAATTCAACAGGGCCGCCGATCAAGTCAAGAAGGACCCGCGGTGCATAGAAATACTGGGGGATGGAAAGAAGATAAGAGCATATGGTGAGCCAACAGCGAGCAAATGGGCAAGAGCTGGGCCGATTGCGTATGTATCTTATACTAAATCTGCGCCCGAATTGTACTGACTTTATAAAGATCCAACATTTCGAAGGATCGTAGAGGGGTGGAACATCTGGTTATGCATTTTAACGTCGAGGGTCCGCTCAATCAAGGTGTGGTGCACCTACATATGGTCAGACGACCGTCTGAGAGCGAATTTGTATACAAGTACTTATTCTTGGACGTGAAAGGGCATCAGAGAATCTACCTTGAGAACGCAAATGCCACAAATAATGGTCCGGGGAAAAATAGATTCTTGGGGGTTATTTGGCGATGATATGGATGTCCGGTTCAAAGTGGGACATTCAAAACGTTGTTGGGCTGCGATGAATTGATGTTTGACACTCATCTTTTAAACAACTGGGAAGAACATTATAAAGGGTTATTCAATAATGATTTAAATATTCGCTTCAAACTGGGACACTCAAAACGGTATTGGGCTGGAAGGAGGGGGTTTTCAACAGCAATTCTGAATACCTTCAATTTCATATATTATTAGTCCATCATCATCTAGACTTTCAAGCTTGTACTCCGTGAAGAGTGACCCTCGACGCTAAAACCCTTCATTACCTAATATATGCCTGTATTCCGATCTCTCACCGCCTTACCAAATTAAGCTTAGCGGATTTTAACCTTAATCGATTTGCGAACGCCATGGCAATCTGGCCATCCCCTCGACTACAACAATAATTTGAATCCGATTACAATAGGGGTCTCTTATTTCTATACAACTCCAACGACTTCGCGTCAGAGATAGTAACATCTACACATATTCGAAGGCTATCAAATATGGCAGCTCTTGCTTCGAAGGCGCAATCCCAAAAGCTCTTCGAGAAGTTAAAGACAAAGCCAGCAAATAGGGTACGCAAGACAAACTTCTCTGGACAAATGCAATCATGATGCATATGCTGATATGCTTTCGCGCAATAGATTTGTTTTGATTGTGGGGCAAAGAATCCAACATGGACGTCTGTGCCTTTTGGAATCTACCTCTGCCTTGATTGTTCATCGAATCATCGCAACTTGGGTGTTCACATCTCCTTTGTGCGATCGACAAACCTTGATCGTACGTATAGGGCACGACCGTGGAAAGGACCCGAGGGGCTAACAATGTGACCAGAATGGCAATGGGATCAACTCCGAGTTATGAAAGTTGGTGGTAACGAATCTGCCACGAAATACTTTCAATCAAATGGAGGTACTGCAGCACTCAATAGCAAGGACCCCAAAACGAAGTACCAGTCGAACGCTGCCACGAAATATAAGGAAGAATTGAAGAGACGTGCTGCCAAGGATGCTACAGAGTATGCCATTTCTGCGGATAATAGATGTTGATGCTGATTGATGTACAGATACCCGAACGAGGTCGTTATTACCGATGCGGCGACTGATGCCGCTGATGGAACTTCTACACCTGCCGGCGAACCTGATGATGACTTCTTTTCTTCCTGGGATAAGCCTTCGATCAAGCGACCAACACCCCCAATTTCTCGAACTGCTACACCACCTGTTGTTGGACGAACACCTTCCCCATTCCTCAATGCCGGTGCCAATGCTGCTGGTAACGGAATCGCAAGAGCAACATCACCACTAGGAAAAACAGAAGGGACAGCTGCAGCGCCTACGGCTAGCCGTATCACATCGTCTGCTGCGTTGCGAAAAAGCGCTACAACAGGGACCGGACCAAGAAAAGCAAATGTCCTCGGCGCCAAGAAAACCAAGCTGGGTGCAAAGAAGGTTACTGGCGATGTAATTGATTTTGATGCCGCCGAGCGCAAGGCAAAGGAAGAAGCCGAGAGAATTGAGAAATTAGGCTATGACCCTGAGGCCGAAGAAGCTGCGACAAAGAAGTCAACTGCCAAGGCAGCTGATCTTTCGAGCATTGCCGCACCAACACCTGTGAGCCCAGGAAGGGCAGGATACGGTTCTGGTCACAGCCGAGAGCGGTCAAATGGTGAGGTTGAAAGACTCGGAATGGGAATGGGAAGACTTGGATTTGGACAGATTGGAGGCTCAAAACCTGCAGCTACTGCACAGAAGAAGATGGGCGGTTTTGGCTCAGTTGGGCCTATCAAGGCCACAAAAGAAGGTGAGAGATTGCATTCAGCAGTCACCACCTCCCAAATCTCAAAGCTAACATTTCTACAGATGATGATGAGAAATACGCTCGTCAAAAGTTCGGCAGCCAAAAAGGCATTTCGTCGGATGAGTTTTTCGGCAAGGGGTCATTTGATCCGAGCGCACAATCAGAAGCCAAAACTCGCCTACAAGGTTTCGAAGGAGCCACATCTATCTCATCCAATGCTTATTTTGGAAGACCTGAGGAAGAAGAGGGCGGAGAAGATTATGGTGATCTCGAGACCGCTGCAAAGGACTTTGTGAGGAAATTTGGTGTCACAGCCGGGGATGATTTGGATAACTTAACACAAGTCCTTGGGGAGGGTGCAAGCAAACTGCAAGGTGCCATCAGAAGCTATTTGAACGGCTGAATAAAGGTGATGGGTGATAGACAGGAGTTTGGCGTTTGTATGAGCAGTATGTGAAACTGTGATGGCAAGATTGAGAAGTGAGAACTGTGAAAAACAGACTCGAAGATCGCAGAGGGCGTAAAAGGCTTATTCTCGTAGTAATCGGTGAGGATAATTCATTTCTTCTCTTATGTACTACTTTTGTCCCACAATTTAGATGACATTACTTCTGTGTAATTATTGTAGATTTCCGACACTAAATGGACTTGGATGAAGGTGTAATGATCAACTGTGTTTTGAATGATATCTCATGTTTCTTCGTGATAGATTATTTTTTACGAATCTGGACAAGGTTACCTGACAAACAAAGCGAATTCAATATCTTAGACAATTAGAATCACTCAATTGAATCCACGAATGAGACCCCCCGTAAAATTTCTAAGAAAGAAAATGCAAACTTGCCAGATGCTAGCCTCCTCAACGTTGAAGTTCTCTTAGCTAAGCAGTGGAGTACAACCAACCGGGGGACTTGCTACTCAAACAGACGTCTTGTGGCAGAAGAATGGATTTTATAAAGAATGGACATGGTTACCATTGGACCAGCCATACCCCTTAGGGCCCTGGCGTCGAGCTTATAATACATAATATGCCTATTCAGGCTAGCACCTTCTTCTGTGGCCGCAAGTTCGGATTCAAAAGTTTTCGAAGATTGCAGGACGAAACTGTGTTCTAGATGAAGTCGAAAGCATGGTCGCTAACTGCCTAGGCGGTATCAAAGTCTAAATCATTGGCATGGGTTGAAGGGAGATTGCTGCTTATAGTGCAGCATCTGTTGTACCCGCTTGGGGTGCTACCACTCTTATTTACCTGTCTCGATCATGGTGGAGGGGCCGGAAGACGTACACGAATGCAGATTATCATTGGCGGCAAATCGTATCATATCATGTTTTGTGAAAATTAATTGGGAATTGAACATACATCAATGAGTATAGAAATTCATCATACTCACCGCAGCTCAGATTTTGACGTTTTTGAACACCTTCGTTGTCTAGATAGTATTCAGATATGATCACCGCTATCGATGTAGTAATACTACCAAGGAAGATACCAAAATTTTCCTATGGAACAGGCGTCAGATTTGTTCATCATGGGTTTTTGTTTCATCTCCAATGTCCTGTGTTTTCTGCCTATCCACTATCTCTTCCAATGCTCGACACAGTCGCGTTAGTACTACTAGTGGTCCATCTTCTACCCGTTGTAGATCTTGTCTCTCTTATTTTTAGTGGAATTTTTCTTCTGATCTTATCACGACTCAGACCTGTTGCAATCATACCGGTTTCGGTTCTCCTAGAAAGGGTGTCATCAGCTACGCTAAGGTAACCTCCTGTCCCTCCGGGTCCTCCAGTTGTCACACTAGAGGTGATCGCTCCGGGAGGGTTCCATAGATTTTGTCCTGGTACATACCAGGTGCTACCGTTGATGACTTGGGGGACGGCAGGCGAATATGCGGCGATGGAGATGCCGATTGTAGAAAAGATGATGGTGGTTTCCATTCGTTCGATAATAGGGGTGGGGCAAGCGATGAAGGTTGCATTGTTGATGATGCTGATGGGTGGGGGTATTGGTGCCGACGGGTGAATGAAGACTGGTGATCTGGGAGGATTCAGTGGTGGGGAGTGGAGTGGGAGGATGGAGAGAGATAGAGATGGGGGATTGTTGATCTGATACTGTGGGAATGAAGGAGGCTCTTCGTGGGGAGCTAAATGAGGAGCTGGTGGCTATGCATTTGGCAATGGTCTTTGTTAGAATCGGTGGAAAGAGTAGGGTTGATGGACACCAGATGGCTTCCTTTGCACAAATGTAGATGGTATAAGTACTTGCAGAACTGTTTGTGATAGTAGGAAGATCGTTTATGATAGATGTTGTATTATCATGCTTCTCGCTCTCGGTTGGTACGATGAGGGTAAAAGCGGTATTGGCTATTGGGAATGGCGCCCCATTCGTGATAGTGGATCGGAGGAACTGGGTTTCTGCACAGCAGCGACAGGAGATGACTCGTTCTCACTACTATATGTTTGAGGGGGACGGGTATGCGAAACGAGAGCACTAGTTGAATTTGAAGAAAGTACTGTTGAAGGCACTGGAATTGTTCCGCTGGGTCTACCTGTCGCTGCGGCCGCGACATCGGAACCACATGAATGTCCCGTTGTGATGTGGAATTGCTCGAATTGGTGAGGAATGATACTGTTCTGCTTCTCGTCTCTTCAGTAGAGGCACATGAGGTTGTAGAATTTGTTGAGCATGACGGGATAGTTGTGGAAGGGATCTCGGATGTATTCTGACTCAATATCGTCTCGATTTCTGGTTTTGGAGTAATAGGATTGCTTGTCATCGAAGGTGCAAGACTGTACTGAGTTGAAGAAGTAGTACCGATGAAGCAAGTCGAAGGCAACTGCGCAACGAACATAGTCGACACCACAGTAGGCCCAGCTACCCATGTTAGAAACTCGATTGCTTTGGCTGCTTCAGCATAGACAACAACGTCAATAATAAAAATTTCTGTAAGATGAAGGGAACATGATTGGTCTGGCTGGCAAGTAATGCAAGCCTTGTATAGAGGAGCGTCAATGTATGCGGCAGCCTCGAATTTGAAGCCGAAATAGAAAACTTCAACAGAGGTACCAGCTTTTAATTTTAATCGAAGGGCTACGTTGAAGCATCCAGCTCCGGATTTGAATTTCGTCGGTAAGGATTTCGCTTTGATTCCTTTCCTGGATTGTGTTAGTTTTGCCGAGAAACGTATATATAGAGGTTGGATGGAAACAGGATTTACATACAGGATCTCCTCCACAAGTTCTCTACTAAGTGGATTCAAAACGATAAAGGATCATCTGGGAACTCTACTTCAAACCCAGTAATGACATTCAAAGGTCCACTTACTGAAAATATTAATTTAATTTTAAATATCAATCTAATCGAGTCTTTGTCATTAAGCTAAATCCCATTAGCATGTCAGCAAGGACGGTGTGAGCACGAACATGTGGTTGTACATACCTGTATACCAAGAAGACTCTCTGATGTATATATAGGAACGGTATAAGTTCCTGCTACAGCAAACGCAATATATTACTCGAAATGTCCCGTTAACCCACTGGAAACCGAGTCTTAGATTCAGATCAAGTGCATCAACGATTATTTCTGTGGGGTTTGTCAGGAAATGTAGAAAGTTTTATAAGATGGATTAGTTCGTTTCCACTCCGGTGGTTATAACGAGTGCATTGCCGGTGGTGAAACATTCTACACAAGTCGCCTTGATGGATCCTGTGATTCTTCCTCCCTCGCCAGGTGTGGCCTTCCTTTACTGCACTGGAAGACTTGATATCAGCATGAGCTTGCTTGTTGGGAAGTCATAACAATAACTTACACTTGCAACATAACAGAATTCGGTGGTAGATGAACGGCTAAGGGGAAAGATGCGAGATCTAATGCCGACCGTCATTTTTCTAGAAAAGAGACAATTTCTACATCTGCACCTCGTACTTGAGATTTTGAGTAGCCATATCCTCCGGCATATCTCTTGTATGGTATAGGATCAGTAGGAATAGGAGAAGCAATGACAGGACGAACCAAGTTGAATACTAAACTTGATAGAATCGCCTATCTTATGATGGTAGATGTGAGGTTCGAATCTAGTTCAAGTGAAGGACGAAGCTTGAAGCTCAATGGCAGAGTTTGGTGTAAAAACGAATGCAACTTGGAAGGGCCGTGTGTAGTTGTACAAGACACATGTAAAGTCGTCGCAGGATAAGAAAGTATTATAAGGGTGATTAATCGATGGTGAACCATTCCTTTTCATGCCATGTGCGAGTGTCAGTAGCATCTAAGCGAGCATAATGATACCCCGCATTGCAATTTCATCCTTCTGATATATTGAAACTACACGTACTTCACGTAGTGCTCAATTTTAACATCCGTGAATTCGCTCATGCCAATTTGTGCGGGGTCCCTATGATTGTTACTAGTGAATAATTGACTCTCGATTGTGGGCTGGATAGTGGGCTCAACGACTTCCCGGTAAAAAAAACGGCAAGTGAATCGTAGATGCAGTCAAAGTAAGATTGTAAGCAGCCTCGCCAAAATTTGATCGACATCATACAGATACATCGCGGAATTATTCCCACATGCAACCATTCAAGTAGCTTGGTGAGTCCACAGCCCGGCAGACCTATATCTTGGAAAGTACACTTTAGAACTTGAATAAGCTGTAGGATAGACGATGGGTGTGGGGATTAATACCACAAGATATCATGTGGGAAATTCGAGGATAGAGGTCAAGCGAGAAATAAAGAGGTCGTATAATATTGGTAAAATATTAGACGATTCGGAACTAGTTGATAAATCATACTCATATTGCATCAAACTTGGAGGTTAAATGCTGGGTTTCTGAGAAGAAGGAAGTAATGGGTGGCAATAATGAGCACAAAGAGAAGTTTGATTTATACAGACTGTATCTGAAATGATACCACAAATACCAATGAGGTGTTCGTAAGTTCGAATTGATGGACGAGCTTCAAGTCCTAATATACAAAGTGAAATCGACGACCCAAAACATTTGAAAGTTTTAACTGTATGTATGATTGGATGCGTATGAGTGTTAAGATGTACTTTGGATGATAGCAGTATCCTTGTATCTCTCAGAAAATGATGGTGGACCGAGCGACATCTAGAGAGCTAGCTCATCTTCGCTATCTCCCTGGGGCGGTGCTAATATATCCTCGCTCCCCTGCCACTGAGGAGGCATTGGTGGCAACTCTTCATCTTCTTCCGCCCATCCATAATCTTCATCATCTTCACTGTCCGGAATCTCGAACTCGGCTCTTTTACGTTTTTGAGCAGGGAGAGCGACGACGGGTGCGGGTCTAGCTAGTAATGGAGATCCTCGATTAGGTGTAATGGAGGAGATACCCACCTTTCCAATGACAAAAGCAGCAAATATTCCTCTTCCCTCTAATAAAGTCGTACCATCCACTTTAATGACTTGTGCAAACCGTACACCATCTACTTTATTTCCTTCATCATCGTCCCACCCCCAATCTCTGAATAAAGCCACTCGACATGCAAAGCCTTGTTCCCATGCAGTAGCCGAGATTGATGGTATCAAGGCTGCGGCGAGACCGGGTCGCATTTTGGTTACGCATTGAGTGAGGATTAATATGGCGATATTGCGAGTGGTAGAAAGTTTTTGGAGGGCGTTGATGAGATATTGAAGAAGGGGAAATTTGCGCGAAGAGGGGTTGGGAACTACCAACGTTAGTTTGGCGATAAACGGCAATGTGAGATGATGAGATGGATGCAGCTGGTAGACATGTGATGATGTGAGCATGTTTGAATCGTCACATACCTCCTAGCTTTTTAGGAGTCGATGTAGAGTCAGCATTGCGGGGAAATGCACTGTCGATTAGAGTAGAAAATGAATCAATGATGATCAGACTAGTATCTTCAGGGGGGAAGTTTTGTGTGGTGTGAGTAAGTAAGGCAAGAAGATGAGACAATGTTGGCGTTGTAAAATGATTAAAGTTGCTTAGAAGGGTGTCATCGTTGAGAGGTTCTGGAGATGGAAAATTTTGGAGAATTTGACTGAATCTAGGACCTGATAATGGATGTGATGCGTCTGGGAATGTTAGTAGAGTAGATTTTTGGGGTCTCTGATATCAAAAGTGGCATACATGGTAGCGATTATCAATACTCGGCATATTTCTGAAATGGAAATCTAGAGAGCTTTGAAATACAAGATGGTAGACAAAAAACAAATGCTTACAAAAGAAATACCCAATCGATGAAAGACGACTTACCTACCCAAACAACATTTTCATTCTGATGTAAAACTCTGGCTGCCAAATGCATACTACATTACATAAAATTAGCATACATAGTCAGATATACGACCACTTGAGTATGTTCCATTACCCCAGAGTAGTTTTGCCAACACCAGGTGGACCATAAATTTCCGTCACTTTTCCTCGTGGAATACCTCCATGGATTTGATCCGCACTTGCGGATACTTGCAATGGATCTTTATTTTGGAGAGCTAAATCCAAATTCGCCAGACCGGTAGGAATGCAACGCGTTGGTGATGATTCTAAATCTTGCAAAGCTTGGGCGGCGGAAACTGTAGGCATGCGATCTTAGAAGGTGTCAGCCTATCACTTGTGTTGTGCTGTGGCGTCAGGAATTGTGATGAAATGAGTCTTTACGTGGGGAAGATGAAGAGAAATTGGATCTTCCAGGGCCATGTATGGATTGATAATCCATTGCTGTTTGCTGATGCATGGGAGTAGAATCCTGTAGGATGAACGGCGATGAGACAAAGTGGTTATGGTGATAATAATGAAGAGGAAAAGAAGTTATTCGCGTCTTGATGTTGCATTGTCTTGTGGCTCAAGATTCCATCCAAATCGGTGGAGCGACGTGGGTATGGTGGCACGAGTGGGAGGAGGTAAGTAAAGTCTGCTCATAAATTCGAAAACACGTGACACTCGCATTCTAAAAATAAAACCCAAGCTCAATCGATTGAAAACACAGCGGTAATTACCGAGGCCGATTTGAACGATTTTATTAATATACTAAAAATCTATTGGAGCTAAAAACGCATTTAGAATTTAATAGTGTATTTATAATATTAAGAAACTATTTGATTTAATATATAATCCTAGAAAAAAAAAAAAAAAAACTATAACGTAGTTTATTATCGAGTGAATTTTATTATTAAGTAGATTGCTTTAAAATATATATAAAATTCGTTTACATATAACTATATACCTTATTCATTTAATAATATAAATTTTCAAAGTTTGAATATATAAATCTTATAAATATTTAATTAATTAATAAAAATTTGAATTAAAATAGTAGTTATTATAGAAATAATTTTTTCTACAACGAAAATTATAATAATTCCTACTTTTATAGAATATAATAGAAATTTTCATATACAGCCTGAATACCTTTATAAGAGATTTCTTCTTATTAATAAATCTTTTTTCTTTTTCAAAAAATATTAATTAGTTATTAAGATATACATATTAAAAAAGGCTAATTTTGATGTATATTAAAGTGTCCTACTTAATAATATGACTCATTCGATGATAAGCCACGTGATATTATTAATAATCAAAACTTAAGGATTTGATTAAAGTAATTACTTTTCAATTATTATAAAACTTAGAGTTCGTATTAAATTTAATCATATTCTAATTAGTAAAGTTATAGAAATTAGTTTTAATATAAAATCTCTTCCTTTTTTAATATTACTAGATTAACTATAAATTCTAATTTTAAGATAATTCAAAAAGAATTATATTAATTGATTTTCTAAGCTCTTATTAATAATCCTATATGTTCTTTTTTCATTTTATTAATTTCTTTAAAGTTGTATATTAAATTCAATATATTCTTATTGATATTATAAAGATTAATTGAGATTGAATTAATTATATTCTATTAGTTTATATATATAATAAGGAATTGTTTTTCTAATATTAAAAAGCTGAAATGAACATAATAAGTTTAATCTTATATAATAAGAAATCCTTATCTCAGTTATCTAATAAGTCGAGTACTCTACTTTCGAGTCATTTTTCTTTTGGGTTACTTTTGAGTTACTTTTTATATTAAAAATGAAATTTTTAACTTTCTTATTTATAAATAGAATTTATTAAAAATTTGTATATATATAATTCAAATTGTTTTGAATTGATTCTGAAATTTTTAGATTTTTAGAATTTTTCTATATTGAGATCTAAAGCTTCAAAATATTGATTTTTTTATTTATAACGTAGTTTATCAGCATATAGCCCATATCAATATATGACCTACTTTCACCTCAATTTATACTTTCAAATTTATATTATTTAATAATAATTGAATCAATTAATTAAAACTATTAAAAATCTAATAATTTAAAATCTAATATATTATTTTAATAGGTTCTTATATTATATCCTATCTTTTTATATTTACTATAACATCAATTAAAAAATATTTCCTTATTAAAATTCCTCCCTTTTTAATATTCATTATATTAAATCTAAATATTAACCTTTTATTAAAATAACATATTAAAAATCTCTTATTCAATAGATACTCTTTCTTAATATAATTAAGTTTTTTATATATATTAATACTTACTTAATACTTCATTTGCTATTCGAAATATATAATTTTCTATATTTAAAAGTATATTTTTATAAGCTAATCTTTCTATACTCTTAATTAAAGTTAATATAGTTTCGAATATAAATATAAGGGAGCTTAATTAATAACAAGTTATTCAAGATTTAATTAATATTAATTAAGAAAAAGCTTTGATTAAATTATAAAGAGTTTGAAAGATTCATTAATTTAAATCAAAAAAGAGGGGGGTAAATATATAAATT